GAACGGAATATCATACCCCACCCCCCCTTCCACCATTGTTCTGTAAACATGAATCAATATTATGAAGAAATTGACATGTGTCGAAAATGGAAAATGATTCGATAGACCTATAAAAACGCAGTTACCAGATTTTGCATTTTTCAAAAGATGGATTTTTGAATTTTGAATTGAAATGATAATTTTATCTTATGTCCATACAAACACATTAAATAGATATACGATCGTATAATAGCCAAGTATCAGCTACAGATTAAAACCATTAGAGATGCCAAGACGTTAATCTTCTATATTTGTTCATGATCAACCTAGCTGGATATAACATTATGACATACAGGACACTAACAACTGGTTTATACTTATCTCTTTAGAAACGTCATTCTTATGGTACCAAAACAAATGCATTTTATGTCTTATCTGTCCTTACTATTTGTAAATATTGTTTGATTTCAGTCACTACAGAATCAATATTGTGAAAATTTCGCTGAGTAAAGCATACAACTTGTAATCTGAGTAAAATATAATACTAATTATTGTTAGCTTGATCAGTCCTTACCTTGGAGAGTATCTTATTCATACAAGAAACTTCAATACATATACTTGTGAACAAAACCAGTGTCTTTAATGTCACCCACAGCATTGCCTGTACATGTGATCTAGGCAATTGCCAATGCTTGTGACCTAAGCCAGTGTTTCTATAGGAAAGTATTTTCTATAAAACCCAATACTTGTGACCTAGGCCAGTTCCTCTACTTGTGACGTAGACCAATGACTCTACTTGTTACCTAAACCAGTGCCTCTACTTGTTACCTAAACCAGTTCCTCTACTTGTGAGCTAAGCGAGTGCCTCTACTTCTTGTAACGTAGATCAGTGCCTCTACTTGTGACCTAGGTCAGTGCCTCTAATTGTGACCTAGGTCAGTGCCTCTAACTGTGACCTAGGACATTGCCTCTACTTGTGACCTAGGACATTGCCTCTACTTGTGACCTAGGTCAGTGCCTCTACTTGTGACCTAGGTCAGTGCCTCTAACTGTGACCTAGGACATTGCCTCTACTTGTGACCTATGACATTGCCTCTACTTGTGACCTAGGTCAGTGCCTCTACTTGTGACCTAGGTCAGTGCCTCTACTTGTGACCTAGGTCAGTGCCTCTACTTGTGACCCAGGTCAGTGCCTCTAATTT